ACCAACCAGCCAGCCGCCATCTCCTCTGTCACCCAGACGTCCTGCAGCTCCGCCGCCAACACCCTCCTCTCCTGGTCTCCACACCCGGCTTCCTCTCAGCCCATGAAAACGCACAGGTAAGAAACTCCAGACAGGAAACCAGATGGTGAGCTCCTCTACTTCACCTGACAAGTTAAATAATCAACGATCATGTGTTTTCTCTCCTAAGGTGATGACAACGGCTGTAACCTGCTGGGTTCACCTCCGAAGCAGAGCAAACCAGCTCTGGCCTCGCCACTAAAGCTCAGCTTTGATGAGAACTCGCCAGTCTCAGCTCACCGACAGCTGTTTTCTCCCACTGTCAGATCGTCTCCGAGGCGACAGGAAACACCTGCTGGAAGTCCTGTCCGCTACCGCTGTGAGAAGAGGCCGCCTGTCGCTCGGCTGTTTGCAGAAAGTGAGAGCTCAAGTGTCTGCCCTTAAAGTCCAGTTTTCTGCTACTGGACAGCAAAATCCACGTTGGGGCCACAACTAATTATTTATCTGACCTTTAGATTGATCGGCCAATTGTTTGGTCCATATAATGTCAGAAAATGGTTAAACAAGTTTTGCAGGTTCCCACGAACTTGAAGAAATCAGATAATACTCATGTTCAAGAAGCTGGAACCATGAAAGTTTAGTTTAAAACTAATTGAAACATTTAATCGAGTGTCAAAGTAGAAGAAGAGTTAACTTCCTGTCCACCGATTGAGTGATTCAGCTCTGATCCAACCTGGGAATTATTCACTACAAGTATTTTAATTGATTTATTTTAGGTTACATGTGATGAAATTCACTTTTTCTGATGTTTCTGACATTTTAGATCTGATAATTAAAACGGACTTTAACTTGTGAAGACCAACAGTGACCGGTTCCAGCTCTACCAAAGTCCTTTTCTAAAGTCAGAGACTGGAGTGAACGGATAGCAGCTTCAGTTGCAGAGTTTCTGTTCCACATCATCTTCCTCAGTAAACTGAGCATCCACACAGAGCTCGGCCTTAAATGTGTCCAGTCAGCTTAACAGCAGTGGTTATTTGTTAGCGTATGCTGGATCTGGCTTCACTTCTGTTGGCTGCGTTATTAACCCTGCTGCTTCTCCTCCAGACTCGAGGTTTCATGAAGCGGGCGCTCCACACCGCCGTTCCCGAGCGGCTCCTGTCCAGAGAGGCCGAACGGGCATCTGTCTGCTCCTTCCTAGAGGAGAAGGTGCTGCAGCGTCTCCCTGGCAGCCTATACATCTCTGGGGCCCCAGGGACCGGCAAGACGGCCTGCCTCAACCGTGTCCTGCAGGAGATGAAGGTAGTTTACCAGCAGAGCTTCAGAAACTCTGAGGAGACACAAGGGGGTCACAGTGAGGGAGTTTGTTGTGCTGGACAAACAGATGTGGAGCTTTACTGGCACCTACTGGAAACCCAGGGTCACTGCAGGAAGGTGTGGGTTGGATAAGGCTGGTGATTTTAAACAGATCCCATCCAGACACCAACGGCCACGGTGGATGTGGTGTACTCACTGTAATGTGTGTGAAGCCAGAACCTGGTGTAGCTTATTGCTCTGTGCTATAGATTATTAAACATTACTAAACACCCCGGTGCTGCATTGGGTGGCGTTTAGGAAACATGGGAGACCTGTTTTCTACAAACGGCTCCAGAACATTATTTTCTGAAGCACGAGAAGCTCGTGTAAACAGAGCAGAGATCAGTGGCTCTTACTTCAGTTCTGTGCCTCTGTGGTGTCTCAAGGAGGAAAGCGTGACTATTTGTGACTGTGTTGTCCAGTTAAACAGCCTGTTTGTTCTTCCTGTCCCTGTCAGGCTGAGCTGTCCTCAGTCCAGACGGTGCTGGTGAACTGTATGAGTCTGCGCAGCTCCCACGCCATCTTCCCCCTGCTGGCCGACAAGCTGAGAGTGTCCGGCGGACAGAAGGGGCTACAGAGGTCCCTGACGGCCCCAGGGCCCATGGTGTGAGTAAACAGGCAGGAATCTGTGTCATGTAGCGATGAAGGCTTTTGTACATGAAATAATTAGCTTATGAGAAACCTGATCACCTAAAAAAAGCCCTTGTCCCAAACACACTGAGCAGTTGGGGAGAGGCTCAGATTTAGGGATTTTAACCATTTTTTCTGTCTACTTTCAGATTTAGGGATTTTAACCATTTTTTGTCATGTAGAGAATTGTAGTTCAGTGTTTTCTTTGCACAGCAACAGCCATCACTACTTGGTCTCCAGCAGTACTGAAATAATCATTTAGTTTAAAGAGCCCATGGCTGCTCATTTAGCTTGTTTCCAGCTTGGCTACCTCTAGATTAGCCCGTCGCCCCTCATAACTCCAAATAGTCTGTAATTATTTCAGAATGATAAAACCAGAGGCTCTTCCCAAACAGAGGATAGTTTGTGAACACACACATCTCCTGCTGCCAGTGTTGTCGCAAGTGGACGGTAGCTCCGACAGTATCATCATGGGCCATCAATCAGCTCATTAACTAGCAACACATCGTTAAATAACATCAATCATGAAGCAAAAGCATCAGAAACTTTGCAGGTTACAGCTTCAGAGTCATCTTGGTTTTGTTTCACTAGGAAATAAATCGTCAGCTTTGTTTTGTTTTAGGCAAATTGGGTCTTTATTGGGGAAAACAAACTTTTTATACTAACTTATGGAGATGTGACTCAGTAATAACAGACACCAGGAGAGACTGACTCCATCTCTCTGTCCTCCTCAGGCTTCTGGTCCTGGATGAGATGGACCAGCTGGACAGTAAAGCTCAGGACGTGCTCTACACCGTCTTTGAGTGGCCGTACCTGCCGCAGTCTCGCCTCTGTCTCATCGGTGAGAAAAACCTCCAATCTACATCTCTCCTGAGATAAAATGGTTTAAGAGTCTCAAAGAAACTTGAAGCAGTTATTTTACAGCTATTGGAAGAGAAATTCAGGTCATTTCAACTGTGATGTGACTGCAGCCTAACAGTCTTGGCCCAACAAACCAGAGCACAGTAGTGTAATATAAAACATGGTGTCCGTTGGTGCATCCTCAGTTCTTCATCTTTTTACTCCGTATTGTGCCACGTGCACTGACTGAGCTGTGATATTTCTGCAGGTATTGCCAATGCTCTGGATCTGACCGACCGCATCCTGCCCAGACTGCAGGCTCGCCCTCACTGTTGCCCCCTGCTGTTACATTTCCCTCCATACAGCCGCCAGGAGCTTGCCGCCATCGTACAGGACAGACTGGCACAGGTGACCCCCGAGAAGGAAATAGACACCTCAGATACAATAAAGTAATATGAGTTTTTAATTTTCTGAACTTTGTGAGTCTTTACTGTGTGTCCTCCTCTCAGGCGTCGGCTGAAGGGGTCCTGGACGCCTCAGCGGTCCAGTTCTGTGCCAGGAAAGTGTCGGCAGTGTCAGGAGACGCCCGGAAGGCTCTGGACATCTGCAGGTAAATACTTCACCTTGCACATGCACTTCTCGTTAAATGATTTTCTGAAGTATCTTGATGGAACATTTTTTAATTTTGTTCTCAGTTTAAGAACAAAGAATGGTCTTAGACATACAGTTGCAGCAATGTGCCTTTTTTTAAAAACAGATAAAATAGTTTTAAAACCAGTCAAACATTGAAAGTCAAGTGTTTGTTCTTTTTACCTAAAGAACATCTCTATAGATTGGTGGTTGCTGTTGAACTACACCATGTTCAGTTTGTTCAACACTAGAGTCATTTTCATTTCCTTATTTCCCAGGAGAGCAGTTGAGCTCGTGGAGTCTGACGAAAGGAAGAAAGCAGGCGATTCACAAAGTGAATCTAATGGTGAGTGAGGCTGTGGTTTGTCCTCTTCACTGCTGTTGCTACGAACACATCACTAATATTGTTCTGGTGGCAGGAACAGAAATGTTCACACTGAGTTACTTAAAGTTTACACTCCTAAAAATTCAGACTTCTGATGAAATGTGGTCTAAAGCAACAAGACGCTGAGCTTGTTCCAGACACTAACTGAAGCATTTCCTGTCCTCTGTGTGCAGCATCTCGGGTCAGCCTCCCTCAGGTGGCGCGGGTGCTGTCGGAGGTGTACGGCGACCGCATGGCGTCTCAGAGCGGCAGCTCAGAGGGAGAGAGTTTCCCGCTGCAGCAGAAGCTGCTCATCTGCTGCCTCCTGCTGCTCATTCGCAATGGGAAGAGCAAAGAGATCGTCCTCGGGAAGGTGATGACGACCATCACGTGGGGCTGAGACCCTGAGGAGGAAACAAACGTTACAGTGGGCAGCGCCTTCAAACATTCAGAGTAAATAAACCAATGTGTGTGTTTTTGTTCCAGCTGCATGAGGTTTACAGTCGTCTGTGCGCTCAGAGGCAGGTGTCTGCGGCGGGTCAGGGCGAGTGTCTGTCACTCTGCAGTCTGCTGGAGAGTCGAGGGATCGTCGCTCTGAAGAAAGCCAGAGAGGCTCGTCTCACCAAGGTGCACGACTCCGGTCTCTCCACGTAAACCTAGGCCCTGCTGTGACAGAGTGAAATGGAAAACTGTTATTGTGGCAGCAAAGAAACAGTTTTTTTTCCCAAAAAATTAAAGTTTGTGTCGTCTGCAGGTGTTTCTGAAGATCGAGGAGAAAGATGTTGAAAATGCCCTGAAGGATCGAACGCTGCTGGGCAGCATCCTGGCTGCAGGACTCCCCTCGTGATCCCACTGCTTTGTTTAATTGGATTTTTAAGTCGACACGTGAGCTCAGATTTATTTCTATTCTCTTTTTTTTCCTCATTTGTTTTTAAAGTTGCTAGAGACTTTTTTTTTCCAGCTGGTGTTGACGTTCAGCTTCAAGTTACTGAAAAATGTTCACATCAGTTATGAAATCTGAAATCATCTGTTTGGATTTGAAATGTTGCCATTATTATGCTGTAAATAAACAAATGTTCATGTGTTTTAATCAGTTCTCATTTGTGCAGAACTCAGTTCTCTAAGCAGCGACAACAATCTTCAATATAACACTGACATTACTACAGTTTGACACCTGTGTGCCAGTAGAAGTGTGTTAATAAGGCCAGTCACCTTTCTATACTAACAGTATTTTAAACACTCCCATACAAGGACAAACTGATGGTGCTGTGCTTTTCCTCATGGTTAATCAGAACTGGATCAGCTTATTCGTTTGTGCCACAGACCTCCATCGTTCAGAAACAGCAGCACAGAATAAATCTTTATGCGAGTGTGATTTAGATCCCTGTGCGATCTCAAAGGATCTACTGTTTTTGCATTAGCAGGGAGATCCCCTGCATCAAACCAAGCGCTCCCTTTTCCTATGCTATTTGCACCTCATCACCAACCATTTGACAGTCTGATTGTTTGCACTACTGTCACTGACTGTACACGACTGAGTTAGTTTAGATTTATCCTAATTACGTCAATCCAGTTCTTCTTCTATTCTGTTCATTTCTAGTTTACTTCTTAAATGTTATGGCACCAAACACTGGTGAGACAGAAACGGTATTTAGATTTTTTTCTATGTCCTGCACATTTGATGAATTGACAATTCAATCCTTGAACCTTCCTCACTGTGTTAACTAATGACACAAAGTGATTTATTTCTGCCTCAGCTGCTACACTGGAAAAACAGTTGCAGGGTGGCGCAGATTATCCTTCAGTGTCAGACTTCCTGACCTACAGCCTGTCACCTGTTGTAACACAATCCTGCTATTTAAGGCGGCTTAGTGAGGAAAAGGGAGCGCTTCCTTTGATGCAAGGTATCTCCCTGCTAATGCAAACAGTCATTGTCATGTGAGACTGAGATCACACACGGCTCTAAGTCACATTCACATGCAGCCCTATAAAACACCTGAGAGAAACACACTGCTGCACTGGGCGAAGTTTCCTCATTACTAAACAACAGACCCTGATTTTTATTTTTAAACGTCCCGTAGGCTTTGAGAGGGCATAACTTTTTACAACATCTAAAGTGGCAGAAGTCACGGCCCGTGCACAAGGTCTCTGGATATTCTTAAATATCAGGGTCTGGTGTTTCGTAATAAGGAAGCGTCACCCAGCGATGTGGTGTGTTTTAATAGTTTCTGAACAACACTGGAGGTGTGTGGCACAGATGAACAAGCTGATCAGAGGCAAATGGTCAACTGTAGTCTCTGTAAGGGGAGTGTTCCTTAGGACTGGATCAGAGCACACCTCTGCTTTCTGGCTGATAACTACATTTGCTGGAGCCAATAGATTCAGGAATCGTGAGGTTTTAGTCTTTTCATTTCAATGATCTTGTCATGATCAGGGTGAACACGAATAGATCTGACATTGATTTAAGATAGAATCGTATCAGTGTTGTACTAAATTCTGCAAAATAACAGGAAAGGATATTTTAATATATCAGTTTATTAAGAACACCCAGCTAAACCTAAGTCAGTCTAACCTGCAGTAACTGCTCCTTCTTGAAGGCGATAACATTCGGTTTGTGTTGTGGAGGCTGGGATTTGTGCTGCTGTTCGACGACTGTGTCACAGGTGTTTCTGGGCTTGACTCAATAACAAAAAAACCTCTGTACAACACCGTACAGTTGAACAGCAGCACAAACTCAGGCCTCCAAAACACAAACCGAACATCTTCACCTTCACACCTTTGGTACCAGAGTCAAATTACTTGTGTGTCCAACACACCTGGCCAATGTAGCTGCTTCTGAATCATGGAGGAGGATTTACTGCTGGATTAGACTGACTTAGCTTGAACTGGGTGTCCCTAATAAACTGATAACTTCTCTGTAGCATCATACTATACAGTTTGATAAGTAAAGGCCCGTACATGCACAGACAACGACGGGCTCCAACCTGAGGGAGGGTGGGTTCCTCTGCAATCTGTACAGGCACGTTCCTTTTTGAGGATCCGGTGTAGAGTTTCTTGTGACCTGCCCAGGTTTCACTAGATTCCACTTTCATTTGATTATAAGACCTTTAGACAAGTCATCCTGAGCTCTTTAAAGAGGGCTTTGCCTTCTGATACGTCATTGTTGCTTTTTGAAGCTGCAGTTGATTCTGTTGGAGCTCCTTTTCCAGTGTACATCTTTTCATAACTTCTTTTTTTATTAACATTGCTTCAGACTGGTGTAAATACTCTGTCCACTTTTCCAAATGGTTGATCTGATTCCTGTTGTTCTGCTCAACCCTGGCTGAAATGTAATGTTTTTTGCTGACTGTGAATGCGACATTCTGTTTGTTTCACCATCTGCTCTTGAATTTCTTGTTCTAAAATGAAATAAAACAGAAAAAGAATAGTTTTGTTTTGCATTTTTGTTTACATATTTTAAATGTTCTAGTTTAATGACCTAAAATTAATTAGAAATAACATTTTACTCTAAGATATGATGTGGAATAACAGGGCAAAGAAGTCAATATAAACTGTTTTACTGCTTCTCTAGCATCATACTACACAGTTTGACAAATAAAGGCTGGTACATGCACAGACAATGAGGGACTCGAACCTGAAAAGGCTACTTGGGCATCGTGTGTCAGCGTGGACCTGAATGGTTTAAAGTCTGGTCATTTAACTAATCAATGTCACATTTGTCAATTATCCTTTTTTTTTGTCCCAACTCATGCAGCTGTGCACAGTCTCGTGTTTGTTGGCTCACCCTCTGTCCAGTTAGAGCATTTTAAAGAAGCTCTTTAGTATAAAAGGTGGAACAGACCTGAACCTGTGTGATGCGTCTCCCTCACTCTGGTCTGGAGCCTCGTGGTTCCCGTCTTATCTTAAATTGAATGACAGAATTCAGAATTAAGAAAAGCATTGTCCACAGCATATTCTGTTGAAAACTGTTAAATGAATCACTGACTTTCATGGAAAACAACTGAACACTTGAGTGTAGCAGCTGAATTTTCACAATGCTGCTGACGGTGGCTTGACTCAGTACTCCTGGTGAAACCCAGCAACTGAACAGGACTAACAGTCTACATCTGGGCTTATATGTAAAAATATGGCCTGAATACAGGAGAATTACAATGTCACAAGAATTCATGGACATATTTTCTGGCCTTACCATCCAATATCTCACAACAGCTACATTATTTTTTTTAACTTGGGCCAAGGAGTTCAAAACCTGTAAGCCCTGACCGAGTGGATCACATCTGGATGTTTGGTAGTTCAATAACAAAAACACAGGACTGGGATCAGTTTGATCACCTCGATCCCACCAGAGGGGTGGACTTCTGGTGGACTACCAGCAAAATGTACTATATAATTAATTACAAATATGCTTCAATGTAAATAAGAGTGTAAAGTTTGTACACTGAAAAGAATAGATCATTTGTAGCCTTTATATGGTTGATACACATTTATTTTTGTCACATCTGCAGTGGCATCTTGCTCACATTTAAAAAAGATGCTTGTGATCATAAAGCTATCTCACCAAAAATAATGGTAATCACAAATGTAATTTTGATTGATCCAAACTGTTATGTGGTCTCCTTACTCTTCTCCATTAGGTGGCTTCGCTAGACTATATGAAAGTAGTAAAGAACTGCTTTCTAAACGAAGTTAGTATCCACGTTAGTTTGATTAGTTAGAGATTATTTTATTTAGTTTGTGATATGAACGAAGCTAGCTATTATCATAGAGCTGCTTATATATTAGCCAGCTAGTTAGCTAGCCGAGATTGGCTCATGTGACAGCTAGCTAGCTAGCACAATACTACGAGATGTGACGCAAACGTGACAAGCTGCGCAATATTCGGAAACAAATGTGGAGACATTCATTTTACTGTTATGGTCTCACTCTTCTTTAATTACTTCCACAATATGAAAGTACTCACCTGCTCCGTAGCCTTCCTACACCATGAACGTCACGTTTGGACCGTTGGACGCACAGGTCACGTGACATGGGTCAAAGGGCTGTTTTTTTAATTTTCCAATTTTTTATTTTTTTAAACCGCGTCTTTTGGGGCCACAACAACAAAAACAAAACATTATTATTATGCATTTACACTACTTTTTCCTACTAGGGGGCAGCTCAGTCAATGAGGGCAAACGGGCTGCCTGGGCAACTTTAGCCCGGCCGCGTGCACGTGACGTGCAGTGGTGGAAGAAGTACTCGGATTGTTTACTTAAGTATAAGTAGCAATAGCACAGTGTAAAAATAGTCCGTTATAAGTAAAAAGCCTTTATTCAAATTGTTACTTCAATAAAAGTACAAAAAGTAGTGATTATGCAGATTTCACATTAATACTTTAATCTATTGGACTATTAGTGTGCACATCACATTTAACGTTAAAGCTGGTAAAAGTCGAGTTAACTTGAACTATCATAAGCTTATATACTTTACGTACTGCTGGGTAGCTTGTTAATTTACCACAGGGATCAATAAAATATTACGGTTATAGTGCATTTTGTTTAATTAATCTCAGTCTGAAAAGTAACTAGTAACTAAAGTTATGAATTCAATGTAGTAAAAAGTACAATATTTTTCTGTAAAATGTGGTGGTCAAAGTATGAAGTAGCAGAAAATGATAATAGTAAAGTACAGGCACCTCAAAATTGTACTTAAGTACAGTACTTGAGTAAATGTACTTAGTTACTTTCCACCTCTGGTAAAGTGCACCCACTAATGGTCAAAAATCAACAGGATGTCTTTAACAATCGGTATATGAAATGACCACAAGTTTCCTGAGACTTATATCATCATGTGGAATCAAAATAAGTTTAATTTAAAATGTATATAACTCATAAATGATCAGAGATAGAAAGTAGCTAAGTACATGTAGTCCTGCTCAACTTTTGAGGTATCTGTACTTTGAGTATTTCCCTTTTCTTGTACTCTATACTTTGACATCACTACATTCCAGACAGTTATGGGTTTTCAGCTACAGTGGTCACATGTGTCACCTGTGGGCAGAGCTCCACCTGACGGCTCCTCTGATTGGATTAAAGGGTTAAACACCTTGCCACAGCCCAGGCCAGACTGATTTCCTGGCCTGCTGAAGAGCTGCAGAACAGAATACGTCGCCACTCATCTGACAGTCTCAGTTTTTATACTGATCAGGAGATGTCGAAGGTTTCAGCAGCATGAGCACAGGACAACAGGGAGGAAGTGGGAAAAACATGCATCAGTCGTGTTCTCCTGCCACTTGTTTGCGGTTTTGAAAGCAGCAATTCAATGTGACTATTGAATCACAACAACACAAATAAAAATATTCAAATCTGATTTATTCACAGCAACACCATAAAGCAGATGAAAATATATATTGATACACATGTTTTCTAATACAAATACAGCGACCAAAATTGTAAACGCTACTGGACATAAAATATGATTAAATATGCAGGTGTGAGATACAGATTTCATAAAATATTTAGCCAATAAACCACAAAAATCCAAAGCTTGAACAGAGATACAGCAACCAAACCCTTTCCCCAACACAAACTCATGACATATTTATATAGTTTATAGTTTTTTTCCCAGCAGCTTTACACAGTATCAGACCCCTTCACTTTCTGCACACCTTGTTGGACATTTATTTTGAAATAAATCTAATTTTCTACAGTAAATAATCAATAATTACAAAGTGAAATGTTTTGTTCTAAAAACTAAGAACTAAAGCATCCAGACTCTGTAGCAGCAGTTACAAAGAGAACTTGGCTGCAGACAAGATGGCGGACTGCTGATCTGGGCAGGAAGTAGATGATGTTAGCAATAAGTTGTTAACACTGGCTACAGTTGGGCTTTGGGGTAACATTAACCCCTAACCGTAACCCAGCTTCCATAAAAAGTCGACAACTTCCAGCCGAGGCTGACAGAACACAAATCTTGGTTGCAACCCGCCATCTTGTCTGCAGCTCCTCTCAATTACAGCTTCAGTCTTCTTCATTAAGTCTCGCCAAGCCGTGCACACTTGGATCTGGGCAGGTGATCCCATTCTTCCTGCAGATACTCTCAGCTTCATCAGAATAGAAGGGAAACAGATGTCCTCTGGGGTCTGAGTTGGTTGGACATTGGCTGGGGGCCCCTCAGCGACAGGCAGCAACTGGGCCTGAAGCCGCTCCAGTGTCTTGGCTGTTTGCTTCAGGTCACTGTGGTGCTGAAAGGTGAACCGTCAGCCCAGTCTCGGGTTTCCTTCCAGGGCCTCTCTGTGTCTGGCCACGTTCATTCTTGACATCTGACAAACTCCAGCAGCTTTGTCAGCTTTTCATTCACACTGGCTCCTGTGCAACCACTTGATCATAGAGGCCTGATGATGGAGAAGCTGTTGGGATGTTTGTCCTCCAGCAGCTTCTCCATCTCTGCAGATGGCCGAAGCTGTGTCAGAGACACCGTCAGGTTCTTGGTCTCCTCCTAGACCGTGGCTCTTCTCGCCCAGTTACTCAGTCTGGTCGGACAGTAAATTGATCAATTTACAACACAATAAAGTGTGCAGAAAATGAAGGTGTCGAAATACTTCCTGAACTGACTGTAACTTAAATTTGTTAAAGTTCATTGTTGAATTAAGTTTGAACAGTTCAAATCCAGGTAAGAGTGTCGTGTCAGACTGGACACACCAGTTAAAAAAAAGCCCTGATGTCATAAACAAGCCTGTGAATATGAATCATGAAAATAAATAGTAAGTAAATAAGAATAAATAATTCTGCACATTCAGAGTGAGGAGGTTCAGCTGGTGTGAAATCAAGAAACATTCTCAGTTAGAAACTCAGAAACCATGACTTAGCCCTCAGTTTGAGTCACTGCATGCGACAAATTAAATCTCCATGTATTTACGAACAAACAGACGGTGAAACAAAAACTCATCTGACTACATTATCCACAACGTCAACACGTTTCTTCACAGCTTTTCCATTTGATTTTAAGTTTAAAGTCTAAATCACAGAGCTGCTGAAAATAAAAGGAACATTTAGGTGTCATAATGTTAAAATTCACTAAATGTCTACTATAATGGTTGTAAATGTTCCTTGTTCCTGTTTTATTCCAGAGCTCAACAGAAACACCAAAATCCAAACTGAGTTCAGGAAAATGAGATATTCTGTGATTTATTTCACAGGTCTACAATCTCTCAATAATTCACAAGTATGTTGAAATATTTTCTGTCAAGAACGATGCACCTTGATGCTCCAGTTAAATCCAAATATATACAGTGGTGTGAAAAAGTGTTTGCCCCCTTACTGATTTCTTATCTTTTTGCATGTTTGTCACACTGTAATGTTTCAGATCGTCAAACAAATTTATATATTAGTCAAAGATAACACAAGTAAACACATCATGCAGTTTTTAAATGAAGGTTTTTATTATTAAGGGAAAACAAAATCCAAAACTATAGAGCCCTGTGTGAACAAGTGTTTGCCCCCTAAACCTAATAACTGGTTGGGCCACCCTTAGCAGCAACAACTGCAATCAAGCGTTTTCGATAACTTGCCATGAGTCTTCCACAGCGCTGTGGAGGAATTTTGGCCCACTCATCTTGGCAGAATGGTTGTAAGTCAGCCACATTGGAGGGTTTTCGGGCATGAACCGCCTTTTTAAGGTCATGCCACAGCATCTCAATTGGATTCAGGTCATGACGTTGACTAGGCCACTCCAGTCTTCATTTTGTTTTTCTTCAGCCATTCAGAAGTGGACTTGCTGGTGTGCTTTGGATCATTGTCCTGCTGCAGAACCCAAGTTCGCTTCAGCTTGAGGTCACAAACGGATGGCCGGACATTCTCCTTCAGGATATTTTGGTACACAGCAGAATTCATGGTTCCACTTATCACAGCATGTCTTCCAGGGCCTGAAGCAGCAAAACAGCCCCAGACCATCCCACTACCACCACCATATTTTACTGTTGGTATGATGTTCTTTTTCTGAAATGCGGTGTTACTTTTACGCCACACATAATGGGACACACACCTTCCAAAAAGTTCAACTTTTGTCTCGTCTGTCCACAGAGTATTATCCCAAAAGTCTTGGGGATCATCAAGATGTTTTCTGGCAAAACTGAGACGAGCCTTTATGTTCTTTTTGCTCAGCAGTGGTTTTCGTCTTGGAACTCTGCCATGCAAACCATTTTTGCCCAGTCTCTTTCTTATGGTGGAGTCATGAACACTCAGCTTAACTGAGGCAAGTGAGGCCTGCAGTTCTTTGGATGTTGTTGTGGGGTCTTTTGTGACCTCTTGGATGAGTTGTCGCTGCGCTCTTGGGGTAATTTTGGTCGGCTGGCCACTCCTGGGAAGGTTCTCCACTGTTCCATGTTTTCGCCATTTGTGGATAATGGCTCTCACTGTGGTTCGCTGCAGTCCCCAAGCTTTAGAAATGGCTTTATAACCTTTTCCGGACTGATAGAGCTCCATTATTCTCTTTCTCATTTGTTTTTGAATTTCTTTGGATCTCGGCATGATGTCTAGCTTTTGAGGATCTTTTGGTCTACTTCACTTTGTCAGGCAGGTCCTATTTAAGTGATTTCTTGATTGCGAACAGGTGTGGCAAGAGAAATTGAACTCAGGTGCGATAAACCAGTGTTTTGACAGGGGGGCAAACACTTGTTCACACAGGGATCTATAGTTTTGGATTTTGTTTTCCCTTAATAATAAAAACCTTCATTTAAAAACTGCATGATGTGTTTACTTGTGTTATCTTTGACTAATATATAAATTTGTTTGACGATCTGAAACATTACAGTGTGACAAACATGCAAAAAGATAAGAAATCAGTAAGGGGGCAAACACTTTTTCACACCACTGTATTTATATATTTTATACATTTTCTATTGTTATCAGACACTTTATTCTTTAGGATGTGAACAAATTTGATATTTTTTGACATTTCAATGATTAATGAAATTAACTGTAAATGAACTATGAATTATTTTTACATTTACTTGACTATAATTAGTATCAGATTACATGGTTCTTTCTTACATTGTTCTAAATATTGTAAATTAGATCTGAAATTTTTTTTATCTTGAACAAGGAAACTATGGACCTTTAAAATAAAATTTGATATAAAAATAAAATTGTCACCTCAGGCTCGATGAATCCAGTCTATCAGTTTAGTTCATGTACGACATCCTAAATGCCCTAAACGCCTCTTTGTTGTTGAAGGTTTTACTATACAAACATTGTTATAATGTTAACAGAGGCTGCATTTGTTTCTACACAGGTGGATTTGTGAGCAACATAAATCAGTGGTATTGTTACGTGTTACGTTTTTATATATTTTACGTTATCATTTAAAACTTCTACCAAAACAAAAAGTCTCAAACTTTAGATAGTGTTTACCTTTTCATAATAACCCAAAAAGGTTGAATTAAGCTCAAATCCTCTTGTTATTAAATACATTTTGATTGACTGGACCGGTGAATTAAGAGAAACAAGTCTAGATTCATTGCTCATAGCAAAGCTGCACGTTAGCGCTGCACAATGTTCCTCATTAAATTTGGTGGAAACAAGAATCTGCTCCGCAGCCACAATGTGCCAAATAAACATCAAGAGATATCAGCATTTTCCAGTCCACTGAGTGAAATCCACTGCATTTAACTTGTTAAAACAGATGATTATAAAGCTAGCACAGTTTAAATATAGATCTTACAGTAAATACTAATTGTATTTGATAAATTCTGTTTCTATATTTCTTATAAACCACTCAGCAGTAGTTTTTTTTTTAAATCTAAACTCAAGTCTTTAGATCAAAATAGTCAAATATCAAAAATATTCCAGTTTGGTCCTTTCTGAGTTACAAACACAGCTGCCTCTGTGAGAGAGACATGCTAAATATTAACAGCTAGAATAAAGAGCAGCAGTGTCTGGAGATACTAACTGAAGAACATTCAGATAATGGTCTGGATGTGACATTTCTTCTTGTATAAAAGTGTATAAAGACTCAATTCTCTCTAAAGTTTATTATCAAACTGCTAACCTTCGACAGAAACTAGGAACTGGACTAAAATCAAACTGAATCACTGCCATCGGGTTAAAAACATTGGTTATTTTGAAATAACTGTTCAGGTTTCCTGTTTCATTTGGTCTAAGGCCGGTTCCACTCGAGCAGCAGGTGTCTCAGAATATGTGAATTAAAATAAACATGCAGAGAAATTAAATTATGAGTAAAAACCTCCAGAAAACAGAATTGAAAAAATCCTGAGGGTCGATTAGAGAGTACTGCAGTCTGACCGGTAAGTAATTACACTACAGGAAATATGGACTCGAGTGTCAACCACTGATTGACGTGGCCAGAAACAAACAACCACTTTTACACATGGCAGTGTGATAATATCTACCAAAAACAACATAAATCACCTCTGGGTGAGTTTGGCTCATGTCCCATCCACTAACATGGAGCAGGTGGGTTTATGACCTATACTGTGACCAGCCACCAGGGGGCGATCGAGTCGCGGTAGGAGCTATCACACCCTTTTTACTTTCGGTGTCAACATAATATATATAGACTTTTGTATTAATTTATTCAAATAGATTTTATTATAGTTAAATAATACCTCCATCTTGTAAAGCACCTGCTTTGAAAGTACAGAAAATAAAACCCGATTTTAATCTTTATTTTGATCACTGTGTGTCTCATAATTCATTTCACTGCTCCTCTACAGTTTCTTTTTGCCCAAATATTAATTTAGTGACTACTTTAAACAAGGTCCATCACATCTCTAACGTGAACCTACTCTTTATACCACTGCCAGTTAATGAGAGCTTCATTAAAAATGAATATCTCATATCCAAAAGACACAAAAACTGAAAAGGACTTTAGTCTCAAAATTAGCAACCATGTAAACTTTACAGTCACTGGTGAGTGTGGGTGCTTTTCCCCAACAGCAGTGATCCAGTCTGAATCTGAATCAACAAGGCAAAGCTGCCCTGTTGTCTCGTTACGTCATCATGAAGGACATGATGTGTGATGCACTGTAAAGTAAAGAAGTGGGCAGGGTTATACTGAGCCATCAGAGTCCTGGCCTTCGTTTGCATAGCTATTATTTGAAGAGCATGTTGGAACAGCTCTAGAAGAGACGCGCTCCTGGTTCCACCATCAGTTCTGCATTTGTATCTATTTGAAATGTTTTTCCATCACCTGCATATAGCGGATTACATGTGTTCCTGTTGGATTCCTGTTCGACTCTAATGAAAAACACCACACACAGTAAGACTGTCAGTGTCAGGGCCGAGGCCTGTGGTACCAGAGTATTTGGAGCAACTGAACAGACTAAACCATGTAGAAAAATGATATTTGTCAGTAAGGAGGACTATCTATCTCATGGCCCACTCTGCCTACTTCCTTAGTTTGTCTTGCTCTGTGATTCTGCTGTCCAACAAGGAGACAGCGAGCAGCTGTAACGAGACAACGTGGTTCTCAGCTTGTTATTTCAGCTTTAACAAACAAATTCAGCCGCTGATTGACATTCGCTCTGCAATATGTGAACATGTTTTCAGGGGTCAGAGGTGGATCCTGTCTCTACCTCTGCCGGGCGGAGAAGCAGCGCATGTACTCTGTCACCCAGCGGTCATCCACCACTGCCAGCTGCGACCGCCTCATCTTCTCCGGGTCAGCTGATCGAGCCCGGCGACGTTCCGGGTTGGAGCTCCGCTTGTTGGATTCCCGCCGGGTCTGAATGCAGGTGTCGGATGTGTTACTCTGTGAGAAATCAGAGAGAGGAGATGTTTCTGAAAAGCACACCGGTGTTTTATTATTGATGTCTGCAGAGTGTCTGGTGACACGACGTCGCCGGTGTCCTGTGAACGAGGCTGAGCTGCACCGGACAACACAAACTGTTACATCCTATTGTAGCTCGTCCTGTTTTTAACAAGACAAAACATCAGAGACAGGAAGCCCGTAGTTACAAACCCGTAATACCCCAGGACCAAAGCCAACAACGTGTTGTCACCTCCAAACCCACCGGTTCCTGCTCAACATGTACATGTTCATTCAATCTGAGGGGGCACACGCCCTCTCACATTCACGGTCTGTGCGTGCACTCAGACAAGCTGATGCTTTGGAAAACTGTCAGTAGTCATTTTAAGAATATAAATGAAAATTTAACTTGCTCTCTTTGCTAAATAATTGTGTAGGCCTGCAGAGTTTGTCAAATAATCAATAATTTGATCTTTAAATAATTGTTTTATTAATTTTTAAGCACAAAATGGAAATACAAATATGAAGATCTGAGGCTTTTCTGTTTTCCATGGTTATAAACTGGGCGTGTTTGTGGTTTGGACCAACAGGACATAAAATTAGGAACATTACTTGCCACCCTAAGATTCTGACTAAAGTCTTTACTCACATCGTTGGGTGACCTCCGGACCTCCATCCGTCTCTCGGTCCAGTCCAGTCGGCTCGACGCTCTCTGGTTCTCCTTGGTGTTGGTCGGTGGTTGGCTCTTGGCCCTCTGAAGCCTGCGGACGGCAGTCGGTTTGTTTGCATGACAATTGTCCTGCTGTCCCAGCTCAGTGTGAAGGTTGCGGTGGCGGTGACGTCGTCTCGGTCCCAGGTTTACTGCCTCCCCATCAGACGTCGCGGTGTCAGCCGGTCCGTTGTCTGTCGCTGTGTCTTTTGACGGTCTGCTGGGGTGTGGAGCTTCCGTCACAGAACCTCCGCTGACTCCATTCACACCGTTTTCTACAACCTCTGCTTTAGGAGAAAGATATGAGGAAACACATTTTCTTCTTCACATCCTGTGTCTGAGCTGTAGCAGGACCTCAGCTTGTAGCATTAGGGGCTGACTGGCACGTTTTGCCTGTTAACCACATCAATCCAATAATCTTATGACTGTAACTGTCACAAGATGTCATTTTACCAGTAAAAGGCTGCAAAGCTGTCTTCAGCTCTATAGTGAGTGTTTTCCTCACCTGTGGACGGTGCAGCGACTGTGACTGAGGCCTCTCCAGCTCCAACCTCGGTCTCTTCGTCCTCAGAAGCCAGTTTGGGCCCAGGACCGATCTTCAGCTCCCGCAGCCTCTGCTTCACCTCTGAGGATGTTGGCGGCAGTGGGAGGGACAGAGGGACGATTTTGTTCCTGGTCAGCCTCGGCGTGGACCAGCCGCTGGAGTTGGAGCCACTGTCCCAGCCCTCCCAGGACCAAGGCTTGTGGGAATACTCCATCACCCGCCGGGTCAGACGGTACCTCAGAGAGTCCTCGTAGCACTTAGAAAACGTCTCCCATTTGGGATCCCTGAACTTCTTCATGTATTCTGTCCGGGCTTTCTTGGTCACCATGGTTGTTGTTGGAGCTCGTGCTTGGTCACTGAGGGAAACAGTGACATTAACAAAATAAAGATCAACAGTATCGCCCCCCCCAAACTGTAGTCTGGTTATTACTGCAAGGGAAGGGACTGTTACAACAGATGCTTTTAAATTATATTTGATTGTAATCATGTCATATCATTAGATGGTTTGAAAAACAAAAACACACTAAACCTTTGGACTCTATTTCATAACTTCTGTGACAAAATAAAGACAGACAATTATTTTATCTGTCAAAGTTGTTCTATCGTGACCTGCAATCTAAAAAAACCACATTTTTAAAAAATGTACAAAAACATACAGATTAAATAAATAAAGCCGAGAACCACCTGTCAATCAAGAACAAAGGTCCCAAACGCCGAACATCTCTTTGTTGGAACAATACCTCTCTAAATCTCCAGTTTTCTAAAGTTTAATCAACAACTGTAACTTGATTAAATTTGTCATTGAAGTTTACATTTTCTTTCAGGAGATAATTTGTGATTTTGGCTCAGTTTTCTTAGAGCTGCTCCAGAAAACAGTTTGGTCCCATCTTCTTGGTCGTTTCAGAAATGGCTTCATAACTGTAGCAACATAGACTTTCTCAGTTTCTGTTATGATTAGTAAAACCAAAGTGTGTAGGCCTCTCTTGGAAAGGTCCTTTTAATTTAAAATGAAATGCTAGTTAGCTTTTTATGGAAATCTTTAGAAAGGTTTCCATGAAATTAACTAGAAAACATGGTAACACAAGGTAACTGTCTGCTTGTGGTACCGGACTGAATAAAGTACATCTTAGACAGTATTTATTAGTATGATGATGATGATGATGATGATATCGGTCCACCAGATGAATCCAAGGCCTCCAGGACCTGGTGACGTGGCTCTGCCAGGTGTAGTTTACCTGTACGCCCCGCCCACCGCCCGTCATAACAGATTCCTCTCATCATGAGAGGACTGGGGTTCATTATAGTATGACCACACAGCTGAACCACAACTGTGACTCGTACTACACAGCCAATAACAACATCTATTTCAGTGCGTTGTCCGCCTACGCTCACATTTATCTTTACATTCCATCGGCTACCTGTTATACTCCACATTAATTATTCATTTACCTCAGCTGGCTGACACCTGATCCGACACTGGGTCAATATTTAACACCAATTTATTATCCAACAAACTAATAATTGCTTATGTACAGTGTCTGTTTCGTTTTAAGGGCGTTTTAATCCTCAGCCATACTCCGGTGTGTAAACACGATCAAAAACAGAGTGAAGCCGTTTTCTCTATTGAACATAAAAATACCGTTAAAGGTGTGAAAATTGAGGCGTAACGTTAAACTGACCGAGAGAAATAGACTCCAACCATGTTCCCAGCATTTCCCTCACCTGCCTGCTCCGTTAATCCCCGTTTGTAAACAGGATTAAATGTCGAGGCTAACGCTGCCGGACTACTTGGATCTTAGAGCCACATACATCTGTACTCACTCCGACTTCTGTCCAGAGGGGTCCGGTCCGGTCCGGTCTACAGCCCAGCGTGTGTCTGTAGTACCGCGGTCAGATGTCTAGCATCGCTCCGTTCCTCCGTGACTGACAGCTAGGGGCTAACGCTGACAGCTACAAGCTAGCTACAATACAACACCCCGCTTCCGGCGAATGCTTTCAAAATAAAACGCCAGCGTTTGGGATGTCGTGGTCGTGTATTTCAGATAATCGTGAACTTTAAAAGAAAAAAACCATGTACCTCCGGTTTCTACCTTTGGTCTTTCGCCAACTTGGTGGCAGCAGAATAATGAAACGTGAAGATGAAGAATTAAATATTTGACATGATGGAGAGATCAGAGTGCGCATGCGTGTTTTGCCTCTAGACAACAGGTGAAAACAGAAACCTGCTGAGAAAGATCATTAAACTGTAAATCCGGAAGCATGACCATTTTTTCGGAGTATGCGCCACTAAACAACTTTGATAGGAAGGAACAGGCTCTGACAGACAGTAACCTTAGAGGAGGCTCTGTCTGCTCTTCAACACCTTAAGCCTAATAAATCTCTGGTGTGGATGACATCACTTCTGAATTTTATATTGCACTTGCAGATCAGCTGGCTCCTTTCCTGCATGGTGTTTTAGAGTGCCTAGAACAAATAGTTCCTCCACCCATGATGACTCAAGGCCTAATAACATTAATCCCAAAGCCAAGGAAAGATCTCTTCAGTGATAATTTATGCCCTATCTGTCTCCTTAAGAATGATAAGAATGATCATAACACTTTTGCTAAAAGAATGAAGGGTGTTCTGGACTGTTATTGATGAAACAGACATATCTCTTTTAACATATGACTTGTGTTAATGATTATTCTAATTTATGTAGTGATGACTGCACTGGATTGGCGACCTGTCCAGGGTGTACCCCGCCTTCGCCCGATTGCCGGCCGGGATTGGCTCAGACAGGGCTGCCCAGTTTCCCCATATCCTCTTCTCCGAGCAGGATGAAGGCACAGGGTGCTGTCGTGCCCAGAGATCTTTCATTCCCTCCAGGATGACTTTGCCAAACAGATCCTTGTGAGTGATGGTTTACTGGATGATGTCTGCAGGTTGTGTATGTTCCTCTGTGTTGTGTTAATGTGTAATGTATTTGTCTGACAACTGCCACAGACACAAAAAGAATTTCCAAAGGGTCAATGAACTGAAATGGGGATCATTCCTGATTTAAGTCAAAACTTTGCCAGTTTTAGCTCCTCTACAGCTGCTTGTTTCGATATCCTTTCACATTTGAATATTCTGTCTTCTATTAGTAAATGAAAACATTGAATTTGTAGCACCAGATATCTACAATCACAACATGTTGTCATACTGCACCTACCCTATCCAGTGTTAGATGTCTCTGAAACAAACCCAAACACATCCACAGTGTTCAGACTAACAGACGACAGTCGTACATGAAAATAATCATCTTTTATTGGCTTTGTTTCTTTTTGGTCTTTTTCCCCCCTCAGTTGGTCTGAGGTGTGTTGTTGTACCTTGAAGCCAACGCTCACTTTGCTTTCACACATTGGACATCATTCACATTCAAAACATCATGGACATAAAAGAAGGAATAAATAAAAGTATGTACAGGTTAGACGCCAGACTTTCCCTGATGTTTCACAGTCCTGCGTCTTATTGCTCTGGATCCTGAACCTGAGGTGGTTTCGGAGGACTTGTGTCTAGAAGCACTTGCGGTGGACGATACTGGGACCGGCCTCGTCGTACTCCTGCTTGCTGATCCACATCTGTTGGAAGGTGGAGAGGGAGGCCAGGATGGAGCCGCCAATCCAGACCGAATATTTACGCTCAGGAGGGGCGATGATCTGCAGAGGAGAAGGAAGTCAGACTGGTTTTTCCTTTCCTGGCACAATATTTAACAATCATTTAATGCCCGTGGTTTTGGAATTTGCTCAACTGGCACACGGGAGTATAATGATGAGGTGTCCACACACTTCTGGCTGTATAGCACAGTTTATTTAGTGCTGAGAAAAGCTTTGGGGCTTCAAACTAAGCAAGCACATGTACATCTGGTGGCTGGTAATATTATATCAGCCCTTAAAGGCCGAGGCCAAAGCTCGACTACCCCTCCCAGATTTTAACAGCCTCCTATGTTTGTGATAAAAGTCCAAGAAGCTGTGAGGTAATGCTTTTGCTATGAAGTAGTAGATGTTACTGTGCAACATGAAATAATTAATAAATCCTTGTCTGAAAAGCCGCTACGTGTTAATATGAAACAGACATATCTCTTTTAACATATGACTTGTGTTAATGATTATTCTAATTTATGTAGTGATGAGTACTTCATGGATGATACTGATGTAACATTTGATGAGTGTGATGTGGTTGGAGAATCATGTTCATTAAATGATGCTACTACTGTACGTTTGTAACATCATGTCTTGGGACCAGGTGGACACCTCCTCCTACCTGTGATTATCTGTGGCATCTGTCTCGTCCTCCCGATTGCCGGCCGGGATTGGCTCAGACAGGGCTGCCCAGTTTCCCCATATCCTCTTCTCCGAGCAGGATGAAGGCACAGGGTGCTGTCGTGCCCAGAGATCTTTCATTCCCTCCAGGATGACTTTGCCAAACAGAGCCTTGTGAGTGATGGTTTACTGGATGATGTCTGCAGGTTGTGTATGTTCCTCTGTGTTGTGTTAATGTGTAATGTATGGTCAGCGATACCCGGGTACATGGTGGTGCCACCAGACAGCACGTTGTTGGCGTACAGGTCCGACAACTGCCACAGACACAAAAAGAATTTCCAAAGGGTCAATGAACTGAAATGGGGATCATTCCTGATTTAAGTCAAAACTTTGCCAATTTTAGCTCCTCTACAGCTGCTTGTTTCGATATCCTTTCACATTTGAATATTCTGTCTTCTATTAGTAAATGAAAACATTGAATTTGTAGCACCAGATATCTACAATCACAACATGTTGTCATACTGCACCTACCCTATCCAGTGTTAGATGTCTCTGAAACAAACCCAAACACATCCACAGTGTTCAGACTAACAGACGACAGTCGTACATGAAAATAATCATCTTTTATTGGCTTTGTTTCTTTTTGGTCTTTTTCCCCCCTCAGTTGGTCTGAGGTGTGTTGTTGTACCTTGAAGCCAACGCTCACTTTGCTTTCACACATTGGACATCATTCACATTCAAAACATCATGGACATAAAAGAAGGAATAAATAAAAGTATGTACAGGTTAGACGCCAGACTTTCCCTGATGTTTCACAGTCCTGCGTCTTATTGCTCTGGATCCTGAACCTGAGGTGGTTTCGGAGGACTTGTGTCTAGAAGCACTTGCGGTGGACGATACTGGGACCGGCCTCGTCGTACTCCTGCTTGCTGATCCACATCTGTTGGAAGGTGGAGAGGGAGGCCAGGATGGAGCCGCCAATCCAGACCGAATATTTACGCTCAGGAGGGGCGATGATCTGCAGAGGAGAAGGAAGTCAGACTGGTTTTTCCTTTCCTGGCACAATATTTAACAATCATTTAATGCCCGTGGTTTTGGAATTTGCTCAACTGGCACACGGGAGTATAATGATGAGGTGTCCACACACTTCTGGCTGTATAGCACAGTTTATTTAGTGCTGAGAAAAGCTTTGGGGCTTCAAACTAAGCAAGCACAGTGACATCTGGTGGCTGGTAATATTATATCAGCCCTTAAAGGCCGAGGCCAAAGCTCGACTACACCTCCCAGATTTTAACAGCCTCCTATGTTTGTGATAAAAGTCCAAGAAGCTGTGAGGTAATGCTTTTGCTATGAAGTAGTAGATGTTACTGTGCAACATGAAATAATTAATAAATCCTTGTCTGAAAAGCCGCTACGTGTTAATATACTTCATGGATGATACTGATGTAACATTTGATGAGTGTGATGTGGTTGGAGAATCATGTTCATTAAATGATGCTACTACTGTACGTTTGTAACATCATGTCTTGGGACCAGGTGGACACCTCCTCCTACCTGTGATTATCTGTGGCATCTGTCTCGTCCTACCTTGATCTTCATGGTGCTGGGGGCCAGAGCGGTGATCTCCTTCTGCATGCGGTCAGCGATACCCGGGTACATGGTGGTGCCACCAGACAGCACGTTGTTGGCGTACAGGTCCTTACGGATGTCGATGTCACACTTCATGATGCTGTTGTAGGCGGTCTCATGGATACCAGCGGACTCCATACCTGTCCCAGTGCACAGCAGAGACGTTCACTCGGGTACCGCTTCATTATTGCATTACTGACTAATAATGTGTGTAACTTGTAATAAACGTCTTTGTGGGTTTCTTTAGTTCCTGTCCCTGGACACTGACATGTAAAAGGCCACCCACTCCTCCTACAGTGGAACAAGACCCCCTTCCCAGAACGCACAATGACCAAAACAACTTATTTGTGTCTCTTTATTGTTGTTTTTGTCTCTGTCTCTTTATTATTTGTTTTTTGTATCAATAAAGCTTACATATACTGCCATCACAAAACCTCTCAGTGGGCACTTTTGTTGCAAATTTGTAATTTTGGTCTTAATTAAAAAAAACTGACTTGACTTCCTGAGATTTCTTAGTAAATCAATGTTATGTCAAACAAACATACAGACTCATTCCTACCAGTTCTCAGGATTCAGCTATGAGTGTTCAGTTTGTAAGTGTACACACCGATGAAGGAGGGCTGGAACAGGGCCTCGGGGCAGCGGAAACGCTCGTTGCCGATGGTGATGACCTGGCCGTCGGGCAGCTCGTAGCTCTTCTCCAAGGAGGAGGAGGAGGCGGCGGTGGCCATCTCGTTCTCAAAGTCCAGACCCACATAGCACAGCTTCTCCTTGATGTCACGAACAATCTCACGCTCGGCTGCAAACAGAGAAAATAATCTGTGCTGAATATGTGAAACTACAACCTGGTACTTTTGCTGTAGGTGAAATTAAACTGGAAACTACTGTAGAACCTCAAGCTCACCTACTTCTGGGTCTCAGCTCTTAAATTAAACCTGACGCTGTGCTCTGTGCTGACATGAAGCATTTACCGGTTGTGACAAAGGAGTAGCCGCGCTCAGTCAGGATCTTCATGAGGTAGTCGGTCAGATCGCGACCAGCCAGGTCCAGACGCATGATGGCGTGGGGCAGGGCGTAGCCTTCATAGATTGGCACGTTGTGGGTCACACCGTCACCAGAGTCCAGCACAATACCTGTGATCAGGAACCAGAGGGGGAGAGTCATGGAGAGGTGTTTACATCCAGCCTGTGATGAGTTCTGTTTTAATACTTTAACATCTTTGTCGGGTGAAATTCACAAACTTCACAGTCTTGAATTAGGGCTACACTTTTGCTACAGTCTAGGTTTGAGACATTTTTATCAGTAAAGTTCATGGATGGATTCTAGATGTTACTGTGCAACATGAAATAATGAATTAATCCTTGTCTGAAAAGCCGCTACATGTTAATGACTTTAACATCTTTGTCGGGTGAAATTCACAAACTTCACAGTCTTGAATTAGGGCAACACTTTTAATACAGTCTAGGTTTGAGACATTTTTATCAGTAAAGTTCATGGATGGATTCTGAGACAATGGGGCCCTGGGCACAGACATGTACAAGGAACATTATCACCTCCATGAAGGAAGAGTAGATGGACTTAGTTTGAGACAGGTGTTCCTAATAAACTGACAACTGAGAGCATACTGTCATGTCACCCAGCACTAAACGGACACCAAACATCCTGCAGATGTGGCAAACTCACCGGTGGTACGACCGGAGGCGTACAGGGACAGCACGGCCTGGATGGCCACATACATGGCGGGGACGTTGAAGGTCTCGAACATGATCTGGGTCATCTTCTCCCTGTTGGCTTTGGGGTTGAGTGGGGCCTCCGTCAGCAGGGTGGGGTGCTCCTCGGGGGCCACGCGCAGCTCGTTGTAGAAGGTGTGGTGCCAGATCTTCTCCATGTCGTCCCAGTTGGTGATGATGCCGTGCTCAATGGGGTACTTCAGGGTCAGGATGCCCCTCTTGCTCTGGGCCTCATCTCCCACGTAGGAGTCCTTCTGACCCATACCGACCATCACACCCTGAGGGGGGGAACAGAGGTGAGCATTTACACAAAGCACATTTAAGATCAAATTCAAACAGTGAAAAACATTTGTAAGCCTGAACTTGCATGAGCCACGTCCTGTCACTGCCAATAGATTTATGATAAACTCATCCTTACTTTACATCTGAAGGGTTTATGTTTCATCCTGTTGTTTTTTAAGTGTGATGAAGTTTAAGATTCAAGCAAAGGTAGAGGAATGTGTAGAACAGAACTGAAGACATTTAATGTCAAATGACAAAATCACATTCACATTCCTGAGAAATTAAACAAAACAAAAAAACATATATAAATGACTATATCCAAGATGAAGCAGCAACAAAGTGCTTTTAGAAGCTATTAAAATGTGAATTAACCTATAAATAATGGATGAATATTGAGGTGGAGGGGTGTTATACAGTTAGCTATATCAGGTTCAGGACCAAAGGCTGTGTTTGACTGTTGTGGTGCAGGTGTTTACGGCCCTGTAACATCTCCCAGAGGGCAACAGGGTGGATTTAAGCAGAGGTACCGTCATCTTGCTTCAAATTCTACTCTTATAGATCAAATTATTGGCACTAAAACAGATAAAATATTAAAAAAAAAAACTGAGTTACTCTAAAAGACTAAAATTGGAGACTTAAACAATTAGAATATCCACAATACAAACAACTTATCATCTCTTAGTTCAAGGTTTAATGAATGTAGCCAAATGTGAACCTGAAAATCTATATTATGTAATTTAAATATTTTACTTTACTAAAGACAAAAATCGGAATAAACAAGCAATGTGATGTAAATGAAGACAGAGAGTCGATGGTAGTTACTTTACTAGTTATTTTCAGGCCACTGGTGACAATGTTTGTCCTGAAGGTGGCAGTAGAGGAAAGGACATAAGGTTTGTGTTCAGAGACTGAATGTGTTCATACCAAATACCAAACCTTAAAACAGTGAACAGCTGTGATTTCAGCCTCACTGGCTGTGATAGAAACACAGTGGGTCAAATCCTCTGTGAGGCCACAGAACAACCTGGTCAGTCACAGAACAAGAGATGGCACCAGAGCCTGAACCATCAGATGAGTCATGCCCTGCTGTGGTGCTTACCTGGTGACGGGGGCGGCCGACAATGGAGGGGAACACAGCCCTGGGGGCGTCGTCTCCGGCGAAGCCAGCCTTCACCAGACCTGAGCCGTTGTCACAGACGAGGGCGGTGGTCTCTTCGTCATCACACATGGCTGCGGCTTCTGGAGAGGAAGAATCAAAGGTGCTCAGTTTACTGCATTGGAACCAAGTCCTGTCTATCAGAGGGTCTGAACATCTGATGCCTTCAGAGATAACACAATCACTAGCTAAAGGCACACAACCTAACAAACCTAACAGGTTTTTTTTGTTACCAATTAGTCTAAATTATTTTGTCAGCTTTCAGCTCATAAAATCTCAAGGAACAGAGAAAAAATCCCAACACGTTTCTAGAACCCAGAAGTCTTCAAACTGCTTGTTTTGTTCAATCTTTCAATTGGTTCCACTCTAAAACTGAATTCTTTTGTGACCTGAGCTTTGGACATGTAGTGTTTACCTGCATGGACAAGTCAATATTGTTATTACATGCAAATAAACAATATCACATGTTTTAAACTGTATACCATCCACTTTATGGATGTGTTCCCCTCCTTATGAATTATCTACTTCTCTTATGTCATCAATGTAAATAAATTGGACTAAGGAAAAAGTCATTTGTTTGCAGCAGCAAAACGTGAAATACTGCCAGTTTTAGGTAGATTTCACTTTTTGCTGTTGTCCTGCTTTTAGAAAAGTATTATCTCTGATTTATTTACACCATATGAATCCATTCGAAGGACTTTAGCTCAACATGTTAAATATCCCCTTCAGCCCTGCAGCGTCTGGATCCTGGGTATCATTAAACCAGAAGACAAATAATCAGCTGATACACACTTTCCTTCTTAATAACAACTTGTCAGGCCGAGTAGGTGGAAACACCATTAACCCTCATTTAATTTAATGATGCCTTCAAGTGCTCCCAGAAAGCTCGTACGTTTGAACAGAAAGTCATAATGATCCTCGATAAAAACATTTTGGAATATAATTAAAATTACATTAATACAAATGTATTTTTGTAGGATGTTACTTAAGAGCCATCTGACTTTCATACACAGTACTACACTAACAATACTATAGTAAACAGTACTAGCCTACACAGAAAAAAAACTACAAGCAATTATTTCATTGTGAACCTGTTTGTAATTACATAAAAGGAGGAATAGGTGTTTATCTGGACTACATTTTTTAAATTGTTGTATTTAATTTTAATATATAGTCTACGTTCTGCACATTCCATAGAGAAACACTTCTGTTGTTGATAAACAAAATACAAATACACATTTATCAGTAAAGCTCAAGGAGAAAAGGATATGTGGACCAATTTGTGTTTTAATAAAACAACGTGGGACAATTAAACCGCATTTTAGACTAAATATTAGGTAGAAGAGACATACAACTCAAATATAAGGTCTCTGTTCCGTAACAGCTACCTTATATCTGGGTTTGTAGAAAATTAATTGGCTTTGCTCAGTTAACTCAATGGTTTCTTGTGCAGCTGTCTTGTAATTTCAGAAGTTCCGATAGCACCTGAACATAGCATGTGTCTAAAGTCAAATAAAAAAGCTTTTTCTACACTGAGTATGAACACAAGTCACTTCCCATCAGTTAAACAGATACAGATTTTTTTCCCAAACTAGAAACTAGCCAGACTCCACTGCCTCAGGTTAAAACCCTGTCCTGTCATCCACCCATCCGGGCCAGCCTCCTCCTCTACCTGGCTTCTCTGCTCCTCAAGCCGCTTACCTGTGCTTGTCTCCGGCTGTCAATGAGGAACCAGCTGAGAGGGATGACAGGCAGCGACCACCGGAGTCCTTATATACACCGCCTCCTCCATACCACCCAGAACGTTGATTTGGTCTCCCCCAGACAGCCGTTAGGAATGTCCGGGTATGCGGCAGGGATTCAGCCGCCTCGTCCTTATTTGGCCGCCGTTCGCAGAGGATCGTGCGCAGGTCGGACCTTATATGGAGAGGAAGCCCCCCGCGAGGCCACGCAGGGCGCTCGAGCCCGTGTATGGAGCGAGACCGATGCTCCAACCGTGTATGTGTGTGTGTGTAGTAGTACTAGTACTACTAACTACTACTACTACACACCGACTTGTTCAGTTTTAACATTCACATTTTAACATACACACCGACTTGTTCAGTTTTAACATTTGGGTTGGACAAAGTGTCTATCACTTTTGTTTTGTTAGTATCAGGTCCGGATGGGTCGGATCTACCACGCACAGACCCGGGGCCACAGAGGTCAGGGGCCCCTGGACCTGAGGCTCTGTATATAATATTCCTTGTTTTATAGAACCTAGGTTAAGATACTGACCACATATGGGAGATAGAGGTGGAAGAAAACCACAAAGACACAACTAGGCTTAGTAGTGGATGGTTTCCATCAGCTAATGGGGATCGTAATAATAACATCTAATCAAATGCTACAGAGACAAAAGATGAAGACTACAAAGAGACACAACACAGCTACAAAGACAAAAAGCTACTAAACTGACAAAGCCGGTCCACAGATACAAAATGACACACAAAGACAAACAACAGACCTAAATGACAACAGGCACAGAACATTATTGTGTTCCTCAACTGAAAACCCAAATGACAACATCCCCACAGCAGCTGAGTGACACTCAGGCTCCAGTTTCTACAACAACAGGGCCTGCAACACCAAACAGCTGCAGACGGAGGAGCAGATTCCTGAGCCAAGACCAGAGCCGCCTGTTTATCCAGCTGTTCCCTGAGTCACTGTGGTGTCGGACACAGTCGGCCAGCTACAGACTGGCTGGGGGCCAACATCTGCTCTTTATTTCACCTGTGACACTGTCACCTTCTTATTTTTAAGTAGTTTAATGTGTGTAAATTATCTTTGGGTGTGTATTTATTTGCAGAGGGATGAACAAAGTATTCTGACTTCAGCCACTGAGAGTTGACAATAATCTTCTGTAATGTTTTTACACCCGGCCTCCATTGGTGCAATCGTTTGGCCCTTATATGGGGAGTGAAACACCGGCTGTGTGTAGATAAGACTCAGGAACGTTATCCAAGGTGCTGGAGGTTCAGATATCCAGTTAAAAGCAGACGCACTGGTGTTTCTAATCTAACGCGGTGTCGGCTTTCAGTCAAGCTGGATGCTGAGAGCTGGCTGCAGCCAAGGAGCCTGGATCTATTTATAACCAACATCTGCTCTCCATCACCAAACAGGAGGAGGTCCTGACTAATGCAGGCCAGCGCTGGAGGCGGCTTCCTACACACTCATGTTTCTGTCACTTTCTAGGGCTGATGGCTCCGATATCACAGGAAGTCAAGTGAAATCAAACCAAGTCCCTGCAGAGAAACGTCTGCAGCCTGACACTTACACTCCTATAACAATGGAATTTATCATTTTATTGTTTTACAAAACCATGAGTGTGGCTTTTTTGTCATTGGTCACCAGAGAAATCTCTAATGTCTAAGTGAAACCAAATCAAAGTTGTCTGGATGAATTAAAAGTAAGAGTTTACTACCTCCCAGTCAGTGTTTTCTAGTAACACTTTGGACCCACTAAGGAATCTGAAAGGACTCGGATTTAATGGTGGAACTCTTTCTGGGCACACATACGCCTTGGTGTTCAGGTTTCCACTGAAGCGAAGCTGAAATCCTGAGAAAACAGCTGCTCTGTAGGAAGTGACTGGAGACAATCTAGAGAAATACGAACATATTTATTTAGAAAAACGGCACAGATATTCAAACAACTCTTCAAAACTGTTAGAATGCAAAGGGAAGCTGAAGTGCAGGAGGTGCTGGGGGCGGTCACATCTGGGCCTGTAGGTAATGTTCATAATTGGCCCGAAGGACAAACTCAAAGTAAGGTTTTGATTTCAAGCTGTTCAGGTCGTCCGACTCCAGCAGCTCTTTGACGTCAGGCAGGTACGTCTGCAGAGGAACTCCTGAAAAACACAATTATGTTCAGTTGTTTCATTGTTTTGTCTATAAAACATCAGAAAACTGTGAAAAAAGCCCGTCACCACGTCCTTGAGCGAAGGTCATGTCATTAAATGATTTGTTCGACAGATAACCCAAACATCCAGTTTACTATTGTGTAAAGAAAAGTAGCAAATCATCACTTTCGCAAACATGGAACCACCAAAATTAAAAATGACAAATGATTAATCACTTATCAAAATAACTGCTGTTTAATTTTCTCTCAATCAAAAACAGACGTCCACACATCCCTAGGCTTGTGCAATGCTTCGTTATGTCGCGGCTAACAAATAGTTTGAGGACAGTGTTGTGCAGCAAACGAAGGCTTTGCCAGTGAAAGTGAAGGACAGCTGAAGACAGATTTATAAAAGAATAAAACTGACCAAAACATCCTAAAATATTAAAACTGTTGACAGAAGTACATGTGTACCATACATACAGTACATTTATTGCTTCAGGTGATTTTTGCACTGTATTTTGCAGTTTCAGCTGAAGGCTACGGAAGCCCAGTGAGGACATGAAATGGGATGAACATGACTTTAAATTTCGGTAAATTCATTTTTCTAGTATCAGAAAGTTCTTTTGAAGTTTTACCACAATACACTTTGTTGTGTTTGATTTCTTGAGCTCTGATAAACATGTGTTTGTGGTCAAAACCCACTGTGTGATCACAGAGAAACGAAGACGAGCCCATAGGAAGTGATTACACACACAAAGCTACCATGACCTCATTTGTTTCTCAACCCAGAGGGACTCTGGTGAGTCACGAGCCGGTGCCTGCTGCTACACTTGGTGCTAAAATAACCCGACCGGTCCTGCCTGTACCGAGCTGTAATGTCTGAACAGGGCTTCGTGAGTCGCTCTCACCTTCCTGTATGAGTTTGAGGAGGACCTTGACGAAGATGCTGTCCTTTGCCGCCTCCAGGGGGTCGTCGTTCCCGTCAGAAGACCAGCTGAGAGGCAAACAACAACGAAAACTAATGAAGCGTACAACAGCACGTTGGTACATGTGTGAAATGTATCTCAAGTTATTTCTTCTTTCTGACTTTTTAGGATTGTCTACTTTGATTTGCAGAGACTTTAACAATCCAAATTTAACCTTCAGTCTTCCAGATGAATAATTAGACAAATAAAAACCTGACAGGTGGATCTTACTCATCTCTCCTGAGCGCCTTGCCCAAGATCTCACACTTCAGCGAGTCGATGTCCACAGCGTCCTCCTGCAACAACACAGACAATGCACACAAGCTGACTTCTACCTAATGTCAAGCCTGACCCATCGAACCTCACACAAACAGGAAGTTACCTCACTGATGTACTCCAGTAGATCCAGTGCCTTTTTGAAGTCGTACTCGTTGGCTCGTCGGTTGTCATCACAGATGTACAACTGTGGAGAGGAGAGGCTGTGACGTGACTCCACCTTCATGAAGGTGACAATGCTCAGTCTGCGTTCACACTGCTTGGTGCTGTGAGCTGTACTGTACTACAGCTGTTGACCAACACTGCCCCCTGGTGGGCAGTGTTGTTCAACTCAACGTAGTGTCCTGCACAGCTGAGGCCAAAGCGTTGGGCGCTGAGCTTCGCTTCACAATCAAACCCATTCATTTCAGCTGCT